ATACATACGTATAAATAAAAATGAGTCTTTTCCAAAAAGATATTACAGGAGTTTATCATTTGTAGGTACCAGTCAGTCATTCATATACGTATAAATAAAAATGAGTCTTTTCAAAAAAGATATTACAGGAGTTTATCATTTGTAGGTACCAGTCAGTCATTCATCTGTCTGCTCACCAAGCATCAGCTAAGGACTTGGTGCTTAGGAAGCTGCCATTCTTAGCCACAAAGACAAAAGGCTCTGCCTCATGTCCGTCACTCCTGCACAGACCACAACATGACAGCTCTTAATCAAGATCATATTCGAAGGAAGATGCTTGTCTTTCCTGAGCTACCCACACTGGTCCTCTGTGTACCAGAGAACTACACCTCAGAAAAACAAGGCGTTCAGTCCCCTTTGCTTCACGCTTCTTAGAAGCTTCATCTCTTAGGCCCCAAGCGTTCTATACAGTGCTATCCTAATAGACACCAGGGATCCCCCACAATGTCCCGGCTAAAAGTTGAAGCAGTATTTTGCTCACTACTAGCTGTCAGTTTGATTTACACACAGGTATTATTTATATGGCCCTGGAGGGAAGGTTTTTCATTCTTAAAAATTTTGCATTCATGTTCTTACTCAGTTCCTACAGTAGCCCTATGAAAAGCAGTTGCTATTTCAGTATCTACTGTACACAAAAGGAAAACCTGCAGCTCTTAAAGGCCACAAAACTTGGTCAAAGTCAGGTCAAATCCTGACTTTGGTCAAATCCTTTTTAACAAATTTACTTATTTATTTATTTATTTATTTTTATTTTTGGGGGGGTCTTTTTTTGGAGACAGGGTCTCCCTGTAGCCCCAGCTGTCCTTGAACTCCCTATGTAGACCAGGCTGGCCTTGAACTCACAGAGATCTGCCTGCCTCTGCCTCCCGAGTGCTGGGATTAAAGGCATGAGCCACCACGCCTGGCTTCAAATTTATTTATTTTTATTTTATGTGTATGAAAGTTTTGCCTGCATGTGTGTAACATGCAGCCCACAGAGGTCAGAAGAGGGCCTAGTATGAGTTACAGGCTGTAGTTAGCTGCCATGTGGGTGCTGGGAACCAAATCAGGGGCCTCTGCAGGAGCAGCCAGGGCTCTTAGCTGCTGAGCTAGCGCTCCAGTCTGAGAGTCAGGCAGTTCTGAGGCAGCAACCAAAGGAGAATCAGCTTCACCAGGTGGGCTCGTACACAATATCTCAGACAGGAACCAAACTGTATTGCCAACTTATTACTGACAACGATTCCAGTACTTTTATAAATTTTTGTATTCATGTGCCTTAAATTCTTCACTATGTTTCTACCACACGTTTATGCACCGAATCCAGGGCTTGTTGCGTTTCTTTGTGACGGGAGCCCTCAGAGGGCACTCTGAATGTGACAATGTCTCCTCCTGTCTGTTTCCTCTCCCAGCCACACCCAGCAACTGTTATGTATTAATCATATTATTAAGGCATTTTCAGGGCAAGACATATAGATGGAACTTTCCGGCTTTATTATAGGTCACATTTCAAATTACCAAGGCCCAGTTCTCGAGCGCAGTTTTTCTCCTGGGAGTGTTCCCATCGAGGTTACATTTTATTATCCCCTCTAAAGGCTATTATAGCAGTTCCCCTTCCCCAAAATGTCTAATTATAATCAAGACATATCAGTCCTTGATACCTACTCCATCTACCAATGTGGCAATCCTACTGAAAAAGAAAACACAATAGTTCTCATAGAATTGGGTGGTGCTATCCAGACTTCTGGGGGAAAATAAGTCATTTACAGTCGTACCCAGATGTGAGCCCTGTGAACTGCTGTCATGAATGTCATGGCAACATATGCATGTGGGTGCAACTGGTTGCTTTCAGATTGAATTTAAGGCCGACTCCATAGGGGGAAACCCATGCCCAGTAGTGCAAATCTGACAGATCCTTGACTGGGGAGCTCACATGCCTTAGGCGTGAACCTATTACTATTATTTTTCTAAATGGATTTGGCATCAAACTGCCCTCTTAGTCCATATCTCTCTG